CACTGCTAATTTTTCATATTTTGGGGCAGAACTTTGCTGTGAGCCAGCCGTGGTCAGGGTGCATCCATCACGGTTGACCTTCGGAGTGTGCCCCTGCAGAGGCCCCAGGGCACACCGGAGTGAGTAATGTCGGAGCCCTGATATCACCGCTGTATTATCTCGGCCCGAAGATCGCTATCGGCAACCGGGCTTTAATTATTCACACTCTCATGGCGGTGCTGGGCATAGAGGGCAGGATCTGAACGCTGCCGATCGCTAGCATGATCTAATCAGAATGCAGTTATGACGCTATCGCATTCTTCTCTCGTATAGGGTAGATTAGAAAACTCCAGGGCCCAGCAGGCGTTCTAATCTAGTCAAGGATTCAGAACTGTGAGGAGACTTTGATTTTGGTGAATTTCAGAGCACATTTTAACACAGTTTGTTATTTCGTCGCAGCTAGTCGATACTGATACAAACAAAGATGAAAATGCTGCAAGTAGTATTATAGGAGCAGAAGTGCAAAAAATCATGATTGTAAACTTAAATTTGACATTTTGTCACATTACTTTGAAAACAGTTCCAGCGAGTGTCACAAGTTACACAAATTTCAAACTTGATTTCAGTGGTAAGAAATTCAATCAATACTCGATACCGATTACAATATGACAAAAATTTTCAATTTTTAGTAATATGTAAATATCTTGGCATGAAGTCTTATATTCATTCTGATAAAGCTCAAAATTTGTCCTGTTAATGTGACATGTGCTCAACTCAGTATCTAGTTTTGATACAGATTTTAATGTCATTTTATTTTATTTTTTTTTAACTTTTGACAACCCTAGGGCTATGTTACTTTTTTGAAAATAATAAATTCATATATTATTTTTCTTGAATACCTTAATGATTTTGTGCTTTTTTTTTAGGTTTATATAAGCAAAAACTAATTTCCCGATTGCACTGTGGTCTATCTATGTCTCCCAGAACATAGATAGAATCTTATTAATCTAAGGGAATGATTGTTTTACCAAAGGAGTGGACAGTTTCTATGTTCAATATGTTTTGTGGAGGCAAATTCAATGAAGCTGAACTAAGTACGACAGATAGGATTACAATCTTCAGCTAGTATGCAACTGATGTCACTGATTAGATTGAAAAAATGTTTTCAGTTTCAGTTTGAGTATTAGTAGACAGAAACTGAAAAAAAATAAAAATTTATATCTTGAAGACACAATTAATGACGTGTCCATTGTACACTGGCATACCGATTAGAAAATGTCATCGTAATAGAAATGAGTCCATTGGCTGTTCTTGTTTAAGACTGCAGTACTCATTCTTTCATGGCCAAGTGGTAGATTTTCATTGCATGGTTTATATTTGAAAAACTGTTATTTTAAATCTTTAAAGTAAATTTTTTTTTAAATAAACTGAGGACAAATTTTCTAAAAAAAAAAAAAAAAAAAAAACTTTGAAATTGCAGGACCATAAGATAAATGAATGTAAAATAGATGTCAAAAATAAGTACAGTCATCAGACTGTACTATTTCTTAGACTCTTACATACTACGTCATCTTGAGAAATGCAGACTTTTCTTCACAACTTGTACACCTGCTGTTACAGGCCTTCCCCATGTGGTTTATGAGTAGCTACATATCTGTTCTTCCTGTGAAAGCATGTCACTCCACCTCAACGCTGCTGCAGATACATACTCTGTAAAGATGAAAAAAATGAACTAATTCTGGCAAGACTCACACACAACTCACCTGTATTTAAAGTGCAAGGGTTTTCATGATTTTGGAAGGGGGTAGTAGGGGGGGATAAAAAATAAAGTAAAAATACAGGAAAGAGGCAGTTAGTTAGTTCTAAAACCTCAACATGTCATCAATACAAAACAGTCCATTCAAAATGATGAGACAATTTACGTGCATTTTTCTGATAGTTTCAACATGTATTTAACAAAACAAAGGTCTTATCTTTAATTTTCATTAGTCTAATTTTAACTGTTGTGCAATTTTTACAGATTTTTCCTCTTGTAAACATTATGGCTGCTGGGTAACATTTATTATTACCTCTACGTATGTCATATCTGCTGCCTGTGTCCAACCAGGACGCAAAATAATAAACTTCACCAATAATAACAAAAATGCTAGATTGTTTGTGAAAACTGAAATATAATGATGCAAAAATAATGATATAATGTGAACTTTATAGCCTAACCTGTCAGTGTGCACTTTTAACCTGCGTATTCCTCTGCCCCTCGGCTGCTGCTGCCTCTTTGGCTGTAGATCCTATTTCTTGATGACAGGACCAGGACAGAGGAGCAGAGAGGGCTAATTTTTGGCCTTTGCGAGGGGGGCAGAAAGGGGGATGATGGGTCTGGATTGACAGGCCCGTGCACGGAGCTGTCAGCTGGGGGCCAAGGTGTGGAGGCGTCCGGTGCTTCTAGCGTTCGCGGCCTGGGCAGATAAGCATCACAGTGAATATGAGAGGCCAGATAGTGATCATTCACAGGAAGCAGAGCTATAGCATTGCAGAAGAAACCACAGGAGAGAGAGAGTGACCTTGTGTGTGTGTGTCTGTGTGTGTGTGTCTGTGTGTGTGTCTGTGCATGCTGCCGCAGAGCAGGGCTGGAGCTGGGCCTTAAGACACCGCACAGGAAGATACACATACATTATGTTGCTGCCAAAATAATTAGTCACCATGTTAAGTTATAAAACTAGATTTTTACTGTCTTAAAAAATGGGAAAAACAGAATTAGTTCATTTTAAATGATCAGCAGTGGTTCAATTATCCTAATTATTCCCCATGATGAGTTTATAAGACCATTTCACAACTTTCACTGAAGAGAGTGGAGTTTACTAACAAGGTAAGAAAAAAAAGTATACATTTAATTTAATAAAAAAATAAATAAAATAGCAACAATTAGCAAAAAAAAAAAAGCAGGTGCAGGCCCATTAAGAAAGAACATTTAGTAAAATTAGACACCCTGTAGTCCAGTGTTCTTTATTGGCTTGAAGATGTTTCACATGTTTCGAAAGGCAGTTGTTGGCATGTATGAACCTGAACAGAGAATGCTTTCAAATGCTTTCAAATGTTTTCAAAAACACAAGCATGGCTTCTCCATGATCCCGTCTTTAGTCTGGAAGATTAAGCAGAAATGGTTATTGAGACATGGAAAGACATTTCTACTCCAAACTGAAATGCGCCTTTGTTTCGGTAACATGCAGAAGAAGAAAAAAATACAGATACTTAGAGATAATTTGTGTCTTTTCATGTCAGCCAACAGCATTCTATATACAGTAACATTGCACAAATAAAACATTATGATCTTTTTCTTTTTCACCACTACATCTACTTCATTTCAATTTAATTTTAGGGTGTATATAGATGCCATTTTGTGGAACAATCAGTTTGCTAAAACCAAAGACCATTCTAATATAAAACTACATGCTGTGGAACTTGTATATGTAACAATAATGACAGCATGTTGATGTTTTAGAGGAAACAGGAGCATTGCGTTCATTTCTCAGATTCACTGCTCAGTTTGTGAAATAAAACCTAAATTTAAGATCATTAATTAAAGTGTTTTGTGCATTAAAAGACCATCTAACTGAAAAATTTTGTGACCATGTACAGCTAATGCCAGAGCCCTACCACTCCTGCTCACTGAAATATCACTCTAAAAGGTTAAACTGCAATGGAAGCGCTTACATAAAGGCTTTTAGCTGTGCTGTCTTGTTTGAGATAACCAGGGAACCAGATCATGATCTAATGAAAAGAGTAAATGTCATGCCTCTACCATGTGCAGCCAGAAGAGAAAATGTTCAAATGTCACCATGGAAAAAAGGGATAGGAATAAGAGGAAGGAGTGAGCCCCAAGACCACAGAGTACTTTCAGCTGAATGAGCATTTAACATGTTAAGACTTTTTTTTTTTTTTTTTTTTTTACTACATCTTGGCTTAGGTGAAGTTAATCATTTTATTTATATGGCATACATCGGGGTAACTTCAGAACTGTCACCTTGTAACCATAAAGACTGCTAAAAGACACAATTCTTTATGAATAGACTAATACCTTTTTACGTGTACATTATTCCTGAATTTTGGATCGAAATCATGTTTATGCCTTAGGATGAGTTATTGCAATTTAGAACACACTGCTACTTTCTGTAGTTTTTTTCTTTTCAACTTTTTTCCACTAACTGCCACTGATGAAAACTATGATCAATAGTTACTATCCCACAAAACAAGTAATAATTAGTAAAACAATCAAACCTATCATATATGCATTTAAAGTTTGAAGCCAGTGTGTGACAGCGTATACGCACGTATTCAGTGCACTCTGGTAGCCTGCACTTACCACTTTCCTGGAATCAACGGGGTACGTGGTGATACTTGATGCAAATGCAATTTAGGCTTCAAACTACACAATACGAGAAAAACAGAAAACAGTTCTTGTGGTGAGTGTGTGTGCAGTTTTTTTTCTTCTTTAATTATTGATTGTTTTTTAATCCTGTCACATTTTACACTATAATTTAATGCTACTCAACCTGAAAGTATTTGAAGTATTTGTACTATGACTGGACCATGTAATGAAATGGAAGTAGTTCCTTGGAAATGTAAAGTTAAAACTATACTATGGAACATTCTCCATGGAGATAGCTATGTTTTATGCCATACTGTGTAAAATTATAGCCAGAGGTACAACATTTCCATGATGACAGCAGGATGTAGCTAAAATTGAAGTCAGGTTTGTGGAGATGGAAGCATCAGTGCTATAATATTGCAATTATTTTAGTTTATTTTGTAGATAAAAAGTTACATGGTGGGGCTTTAATGCAGACATTCAATATGCTCAGCACATTTTCAAAGTATATTCTTCAATCCCAACACTGGTGACAACATAACAAAAATGTAACCAATCTGTAAAGTGAAACACATGAACGCTGCTGATGTGAGAAAGTCCGAAAAGGTCTTCAAAGCTGTGTTCTCGTCAAACTTCAGACACGGGCCACCTCTTTACCACACAGGAAGTCACTTTGGGTTAGAGCAGTCAAACCTTTTGCCTCACACTGAAACAAGCTTCTGTGTCTATAAGGGGAGGAAATACTACCTACTTAAAGAGAGTAGGAGCGCAGGTGCCAGCGAACGCATATCTGAACCAAAGGTAAGGCATGGCAGACTTTGTAGACTTTGTAGTTAATCGACAGAAATTACTTAGTGTTTAAGAAAAAGTTTTAAACATTATCTGATAAAGGCTTAAAGGTGTACAGTGTGTTTTTGGTCAAGGTTTCGTCACTTGCTTGTGTCTGAGATGTTATGGCTTGTTTAGAATTTTGGATTATATGTGACATTAAACATATCCATGAGCACAATCAGGTGACACTACCATTATCATAGTAAAACTGCATGTTTATCAAGGTATTTTTGAAGAATAAATAATAATTTAAAAAAATAAAAATTTTAAATCTAATGATAACATATTTAATGTCATACGGTGGAGCATACCAAGTAAATAAATCACATATCCATACTCTTCAGTGTCAGAAAGTGCTACAAAAATGTAACTTGTAACTTGGTTTTGGTGGAAAAATAAGTTTAATTCCATACTGTGGGACATTCCAGGCAAAGCATAAATATCTCCATGGAGACAAGAACTTGACAGACCCTCCATCAGAAAAGTTACATAGTACATTTCTGAATCTGTAGTGGGGCAGATGAGATTTGGAATACTTGTAAAACGGTCACCTCATTTTCACTTCATCTCTGTAGGTCTGAGCGACAGTGACATTCCTATTGTGGTTTGGTATGGATGTCACATAGAGCACTCACTATCTACTATATTAAAAGTGCACTATGCAACTTCTCTTGTAAAGATTACGGCACCTACTTGTCTCCATGGAGATATTATTTCTTTGCTTGGAATGTTCTGATGTACATTTAATGCTCAGAAATACCTTGAAAAACGTTGCTTTTACTTGACCTGGTATCATAGGCTTGTTTCCATGAATAAGTTTAATGCCATATGTTGGAACATTCAAGGTAACATGTGGATGAACACAGGTGACTTTTATATGTGGAAACTTTTAAGTTCATTTATGCCATTTGAATTACTGTTTTACATTTAACTTCAGTTATATTTCACTGCAAGCTGTTCCTACTTAAAGATCTTATATTATGCTACACTGACTCATGTGAGCTTTAAGTCATGTTAGAAATGTGTTACCTCGTCAAAAACATATCTGGAGTTGTGTTTTGTTTCATTCACACATGTTTCTGTAATTATTTATTATTATTTAGTATCTACATCTCCAAAGCTCAAAATGCTTTGGAGAAAACTACCGCTTCATGACATCACAAGATGGAACAGTGACATTCCGATTGTGGTTCCATCTTGTGATGTCATGAAGCGGTAGTTTTCAAGTTAACGGCTCCTTTTACCTTTAGTTCAGTAGAGATTGGCAATTCCAGGGCTGAAATCATTAAATCAAGGTGGAACAGTTATTTTATTTATTTATTTTTAATTTTTTTTGAAAGGAGAACTTGGCCTAAATATGCAGGGTTAAAAAGTGTGAATGAAATCACAGCTCCAGGTTTGTTTGTGATGTGGAAACAACATTACAACAGAGATCAAAAAACAGCACAATATGGGCTTTTTTATTTTTTATTTTTATTTTTGTTTTGCCACAATGAATGTAATACCACTTTAGGACAAACTTTTTTCCTCAATTTTTTTAATCAGAAGATTTCATCACTTCTTCTGTTGTTCTTGTCTGGTACTTGGTTTTACTGGTGTGTGACTGACCCACAAAATATTAATTTAAAAGTGAATTCTTAGTAAAAATTTGTTAGCAGTGGTGGAAGTACTTGATTTTGTTACTTAAGTAAAAGTACAGATACCAGGACAAAGAAAATACTCAAGTAAAAGTAAAGAACCTGAGAAGAATTAAAGAATTGTTTAAAATTGTACAAAGAGTAAAAAGTTAAAGTATATATGCAGATTTTTAGACCTAATATTGCTTCAAATGTATCGATATTGATAAAGATTTGTTCTGAATTTTGTCCAGTAGATACAATTCAACTGAATTGCTTTTGGGGGGTTTTTCCTAGCCATTTTTATTTGCATATTATTTTTGGCTCAAATTTCAAACATGTTAAAAAATAATCCTCTCAGCAGGTCTGAGACAGCAATAAAAAATAAAATGATAAAGAAAAAAGTACAGATACCTTCTCTCAAATGTACTGAAGTGAAAGTATTAGCTTTAAAATGTACTTAAGTAAACAGTTTACTACTTTTACTTTGTTACGTTCCAGCACTGCCAGTTAGTAATGTTAGGTTTATCAACCAATGGACACAATGTCAAGTCTGCTTTGTTATAGCAAGTGTCTTTATTTGGAAAGCTGCTTTGAAATTTTGAGCTTACAATTTTCAGTTTTTTCATGGGTTTGATGTTGCTTGTTTTAGGCGTTTTCAAACACTTTGAAAAGTCTTGCTCCCCTGGTACAGCCAACCAAAGACTAACTGGGATTCTGCTCCTCTGCTGTCTGACCTGATCACTGTCCATTTGCCCCAAACTGAACCGGACTTACACAGCGAGTCATGTGTCTACAAAACTGCATTATTCATAGCACCACAACTGTTTCAAAGCCCCTTCCATTCCACTCTCATTGCCTTTAGCAGCGTTTAGCACCCTACACCCTGAATGTTAACCATGAGATCAAATGAAAACGTATCGCATTTGACTAGCGCATTTTTCTTCATGTGAGGACGGAAGAGAAACATTTTCAGGTCTATATATAAACTAATGGTGTTTTTCATTCTATTTTCAGACATAGTTAACTGCGCTGCTGGTAAGGGCCATGAGTGTGCACTGATAATGGTAAGTTATGGGACCCTGTTTCATTGTGCTTCTCTGCAGGTTCCACATGGAGTAAAGCTGTACTGTGGGAGCGCTATGCTTGTAATTACCTTTACCTTCACCAAGTGTGAGCAGATGCTTTGTCTTTCTTAGTGCTACTACTGATATTTTGTAGCTGATGTCATCGACTTTCTCGGGGGTGTGATGCTAACTACAGGCACTGCTCTATCCCAATCTTGCTAGACTTTAATCTGAGCTTCATTTTAACACAAAATGACTAGAAAGGGCTGGTTTAGCTGGAACTACGACAGGTGAACTGATTTGTGCTCTTAAATATGTCTCTCACACAAAATGACTAGGGAAGTAACAATAACGGAAATACCGTGATATCATATTGTCAACGTTCTCACAATAATATCATGGACCATCACAATATATCGAATTACAAGTCTCTTTGCTTAAATTAAGAGTTATGGTGCAGCAATAGCACCAGAGAGAACTACATAGACCATGATCCTTTGCTCCATTTCAGTCCAGACTACATGAAGAAATAACAGTTCTAAGCACTTTTAAGTCTTAGTTCTTTGGATTACATCTTGTCAAGGCATTTTAAGATGAAAAAGTAGCATATTCAGTTTTGTTAGCCCCCCCCCCAAAATATCGCAATAAATATTGTACCATGAGATGTGTATTGTGAAAACATCGTAAAGAGAAATTTGGATATTGTTACATTCCTAATCGTGAGCCTCCCCAACATATCAAGAGCTTTCTCATGATACTGCAATAAATTTTGTACTGTGAGGTTCATACCGTGATGATATCGTATCATGAGACTTGGATATCGTTACACCCCTAAAAATTACAGTCCTAAGATAGAAAGCATTAGCCAATAGTTTTTCACTAAGTCACTTTGGATTATTGTCATTGGAAAAAATATATATATATTTAGCACTGATATTTTTTGCTGCCCCTGGAATTGCCAAGCTCTACTGAACTTAAGATAAAATGTAGCTGTGAAAACTACCACTTTATGACATCACAAGGTGGAACAGAGCATTTTGTCTTTTGGAGATGTAGGCAGACTAATAATAAAGGATTGCTCAAACGTATGTGAATAAAACAAAACTCCAGGTATGTTTTTAATGAGGAAACAACACAGTGAAAAGCTCAACACTCAATTTTGGTTAATATAGAAACTTTTATTTATTTTACAAAAGGGAAAGGGAATTTGTAAGAAAAAAAAAAAAAAAAGCTAAAGGTACTGTCCCTATTTTTTCTCCATGTGTTTGGGCAAAATCTGTCTTTTCTTCAGAGTAGTAGATATACTAATTTACATCTTCATCTGCATATTTCACTTCCTCTGAATCACCTGCTCTCTTAGACCCGTCTGTAAACGTCTCTAATAAATGATGCATGTCGAAGTATAGTATTGATATTCAATCAAATCCATCTACACTGAACACAAGATAACATAGCATGCAGTATGATTTAGAGATACAACTTCAAAACTTGACTTTATTTATTAAATTTTTTTTAGGTTGCCTTTCACTGATGTTATAACTCCACTTTGTTCTATAGCTCCATATAGGACTTTCATTGACTGTATGAATAATTTCCCATTTCTCTCTCCTACTAACACATACAGACTTTAATACAGTCTGAGGTCGAGTTTATATTGACTGTAGTGTTGCGTGGTAACACCTGTACCATTCACAGTTTTTTAAATTGCATTTGAAAGTGATAGACAGTGACTCATGTACAAGATTGTAGTTTCCTGTCGAAGCATTTAACAGAGAAATATTATTTTGAGTAACATAACAGTGAAGATGGTGTAAAAAATTTGAAAACCATTATTGATACCTTGTAGTGACAACACGCTAGGGGTTTTCTGCATCTATATGGTGGAATGCTCAGCAGTTACCATGGTGACACAAAGCATACATTAGTAAACACTGTAAAAAAAAAAAAAAAAAAATATTATCAGGAGCCTGTGATCAATGGGAGTGTGCATGGTCCCATTTAGGTGTTTCATTTTCAATAAAAAGGTGAGACTGACTAACATAAAAACTGTTGGCTAATGCTCACTAGCCTTTGGCTGTAAATTTATGTGTCAGAGGGACTTGTTTAACAGCAGAAATCAGTTCACCTGGTCTAGCTCCAACTAAGTCAGCACTTTATGGTCAGATTGTGTTGAAATGAAGCACAGATTATTAAAGTCTAAGAGAGATTCTTACAGAGTGGTGCTGACATTTGCATCACACCCCCAGGAAATGTTGATGACATCAGATGCCACAATTACTTTACTCCAAAAAAAAGTAGTTGTGATGACAAATTTGAGACTAATAAATAGTAATTTTCTCTCAATCAATTGAACAAAATATATTTTGTCCCAATGCAGATATATTGCATAACTATAAACAGCTTTTTGAATATGTGTACAGGCTGCATCAAATTATAAAGCATTTTATTATCCGATAATCGTGATCTTTGTTGTGACAGCAAAGCTCCAATCTGGTTTCTACGAATAGTGATAAGCACTTATAAACTCATTGTGGTAAATAATTAGGATTCTCGAGATGCATAAGGCAAGTTTAAATTTAGATGTATTTATATTAATGAACATAAAATGTAAATATGCCAGAATTAGCCCAATTACTACTTTTCAAGAGACAACAACAACAAACCTTGTACAGCTCCAGTCGCCTACGTTCCAGGATTTTTAACATTTTAAAGGGATCATCTGACGTTTCTGTTCTCTCTGTAGGAGGGCAGCCGGTCACAGTGGAGACTCAAGCAGAGATATGGGGACCAGGGTGACATTTTGGAACCATACTATGATGAAGTGGACGACCATGAGACTGTTCACAATGTGCACATACAACCAGCCAGACCCATCGATGAGGAGAGGGAGTACGCAGGTAAATAAGTGCTATTACTCAAATGTGTACACAAAATCTTCATAAGGGCTTTTCACTGTAGTAAGATGCAAATTTTATACTTATTTTTATTGTTGGAAAATGTATATGTGACGTTTTTAAATAGATAAGGCAATTGCAAGCAAGTATAGAGAATAGGGGGGAGGAGAAAAGTGAAAATTTCTGATCATTCAAGTCTTAAAATGATACAGGAAAACACTGGACTACTCAAACATGCATCAGTCATTTATAACATGATTAAAAGTTCATAAAGGTTGATTTTACATGCCCGCTTTAATACATACTAGACAAAGCCATATAGATATAGATGTGATTATAGATTTCGGTGCCCATCTCTGCATTGTTGCATTTACTGTGAAATGAACCTTGGTGGAGGTCTGCGCTTAGTAACAGTTACACTTTCACACACTCCAGTTCATTTTCATAGTAAATCTACAGAGCAAATGAAGTGGGCGCAGTCTGAACCCCAACTGAATGTGTAGGAGTGAGTTTGACCTTTAAAATGTGCACGTCACTATTATCATAACACACTTTGAGAGACAAAAACTTTTCCACTGTATTATTGAAAATCCTAAAAAGAAAACAGTACAATAACTTTAAATGTTTGATCCTATCCGCACATAATGGGGCTGTTGGCTTTTTTGGTGTAATTATAGTGACGTGTATGGAGCGGTAGTTGTGCTCTTTTGCACTGGGCTCCTGCGTGTGGTCTGTCAGTGCATCTCTGGGGCCATCTGTTGTCAGGTTGAGTAAGACTGTGACATTGGTGGCAGTAGCTCAGTGGCGGCAGTAGCTCAGTTGGTAGAGCATTCGCCCACTGAACCACAGGTTGGCTGGTGTGATTCCAGCTCCCACAGATGAATGCTTTCGTTGTGTCCTTGGGCAAGACACTTAACCCACCTTGCCCACAGTGTCTGCGTACACTGGTGTGTGAATGTGTGTGTGAATGGGTGAGTGGTTCCTTGTTGTAAAGCGCTTTGAGTGCCTTGAAGGTGGAAAAGCGCTATAGAAAAATGTGACCATTTACCATTACAGTTATCCTGAATGCACAGTGAAGATATGTTGTTTTAAATGACTGGGCTGTTTTCTTGTGGGTTTAAATTGTGCTCTCACTTGGAGAGTTTTGTCTGTGTAATCAGTTGGAAGCTGGGATGTAGGAGGACACATGTAGGAGGCAAATATTACGACACAGCATAAAATATCATGTACTGTGTAGTCAAAGATTGATATAGAGAAGGTTTTACAGTGGTAGTCATACGGACACAGTTTTTGCGGTCAAGACATTTCGACTCCCACCGAGAAGCCAGTTTAATTTTGATGGCACTAGTTTGAGACCCTGGGATTTATAATACTCTGAGTTGAATAAAGAGTTTAAACTCTGGGTCTCAAAACGAGTTGAAACGAGTGTGGGGTTAGACTTAGACTTAGACAAACTTTATTGATCCACAAGGGAAGTTATTTGGACATTGCTCCAAAAGATTAGGAGTAGTAAAATAGAAGCTTTTTTTTTTTTTTTTTTTTTTGGTGTTTCCATTGCACTAGTAAACACGTATCCTTGTACTGAGCATGCTCTCTTACTTGACCTGGGGGAGGGACCTCCTGTTTGTCTCCATAGAAATTTTGCATCTTTGGATATAATATTCCACAGCATGCCATAAAACATTATATATACCTGGAAAATGTTCCAGAGTATGTTGTATGAGGTTTAAATTTTCCCATGGAATCA